AATTTTTTTAAGTCCTGCCACAACTGTCATTATCAAACTTTAAAAGATTATACTGGCAAAAAGGATAAACAATTAGTATCTTAACCAAGATGCAAACATATATAAACTTGTTTATGTCATTCTTAGAATTGCTGCTGGAGGCCTAAAGCTCATTCTTGACTTAGGACCATCATTCGCCCTCTTTCTAAGGGCTCCTGATTACTGTGTTATAAAAGAAAGTTGTAGAATCACAGCTCTTATTGACTTTGTATAAACTTGATTATGAAATATCAGTTGTTTTCTTATTAGGAGTCTTAAGTAGAGTCATGGAAGGTGCAGATTAACCGAGATCATAAATATCATCTTGTCCAGTCCGCCTTGTCCTCTCCACTCACCATTCTGTAAATGAGGACACTGGGACTCCTCCTAGATTAAAGTTTCCATATTTTTAATGTTGATTTGAGATATTAGAAAATTAATTAGGCAATGGTGCATGGATTTTTAAATTATGTGATTTAACCTGAATTTTATGTTTCTTTCATTTCAGTTAATTTAATATGAAAAACTGAAATAAGTTGTGCATGACAGAAAAATCAATGATAAAAATTACTATCATTTTGGATGATCCTTTCTCTTGATTCTCTCCTATGTGCTGATAATCAAGAAATAATATTTTGGGCTAACAGCAGCCAGACTTCAGGGCTACCGTTGTAGCATTGTATTCTTTCTATGCTGTGTGTTTTGGCAATCTAGGGACCCACTCTAACATTTGGCTGATAAAAGAAACTCCTGTTAAGATTCTAACACTGCACTGCTTGACCATTTGTACCTTCACTTACTATCTTTTCTTTATTTGATCTTCTTCCCCTTTCTCATTTTCTTCCTTCTCTGTCTGTATCTTATCCATACTTTAGACATCTGTGGATATTGCATAATCCTTCCTGTAGTATCCAGTGCTCAAGATGTTTTAGGATCCTGCATCAAATGAATATTGGCCAACCCTACACAGTAACATTGTAATTTTTCTAAAAAATTCTTACCTTAGGTAATAATAATAATAGCTTATACTTACATAGAGTCTACTATGTACCAGTTACTGTTACAAATACTTTACATAAATTAATTCATTTACTTTTTAAATAATTCTTTGAGGTAGATC